ACCCAAACTGAAAAGAAAGAGCCGAGGACTCGGTAAACGGAGACGCTGCATCGTGACATGGGATTGTCAAAAAGCCCATCAAAGTTTACTAAGGTGAGGCGTGTGTAGATGAAGGGCAAACTTAATGAAACAAAAATGCAAAAAAGCAGTTAATAAAAATCAGTTAGCGAAATAAATAAATAGTTAGCCATTAACTGGCACATTTACCCCCCCCCCCCCGCCGATTAGGAACTTTATCACTGCCTCTCACAGGATACATAGTAGTAATAGTAGAACCTTTGATTTACAAGATAAGCACTGGATATGCCATCGAATCCAATGTTATTTGGGGAACTGTCTTTCGTAAGGTTCCCGGACGCGAGCAGTAAGTAGCTGTCCATATTGAATGAGTATGAAGGCAAAGAACTGCAATCGGTACCGCTTCATATCGTTCCTATGGTACGTATGGTAACTAATCATTTCCCTGTTTCGACCTTTACGTCCGATGTCGCCGTTAGGTGTTTCACCAGACGGACGCTGCCGGTCATCGCCGTATTTGAGTTAGATAATCTAAGCGTTAATGAAATCAATCATGTTAAAAATACGTTACCCACTAAGTTATCAAGGGGGAAAACTTTTTTCGAGTACGCAACCTAATCGGTAGACTGATGTCACTGAGAACGAAGTACTGTGTACCAATGGCTATCCATCAACTACGCTCGTGGTAACATTGTGTGACGTGGTGTGAACGCACCCGCCCCGGAGAGAAAGACGGTGAAAGTCTTAAGACATGGTGAACTAACACATAGAATCACGGCGGAGGAATAACGTACAGCCTTAATCGGAAGGGTTTTAGTTTCATTAGGGCACAAATGCTTGCACATCGCGAACGATGAAGGTAGGTACTCAAGGTCCCTTCGCGCACGATACGCTTGAACAAACAGCTTATTTCTTTTTTGCGCACGTTTGAGAACGCCAGAGCAAAGGGCTCATGCACAACTGGGTCAGCTATAGACCTACAGTTGTCATAGACATGATTTCTATAGGTCGTATATGAATTCTTTATTCGGACCATTTGAATCGGAAGGTGACGTAAGTGATGGCGCGCTTCACAATAGGTCTAGTGCAGGTTTACATTTACTATAAAGATAGTACCTTTACCTGCCATAACTGACGTCACTGGTACAGGCCGGTAAATAGCCTATTGCACGATAATCATTATCGATAATTTAGACGCGTACGTGTCGATTGTTAGCAAAACTAATAGTTTTGCTTTATTTTCAGATTTATGTTGCCCGTACTACAGGTACGTTATATTGTGATATGTCACTATGCAGGTTTTGGTCATGAAAAATATTCAACTTGTTTATCGATTGCGCTTAAGACCGATGATTGTGATGAAGTTTCAGAACTTCCCACGACGCACAAATGTTCTGTACAGCTTAAAATAGGTGTATATATATATATATAATTAACTCACTTCAGCATCTTCGAAACGTGATAAGTGTTTTTGTTAATTATCACTCCTCCTTCTGTTGCTAGGAGAATATCAGACAAAACTTCCCTAATTTCCTTCCTACTAATTTTACTCACAAATTATATGACATAGCATAATAAAGGGTCTTTTAGAGCGACAAAGCGAAGGGGCGATATACAAAAGGGAAGCAATATTGCTTTTAACATGCGATTCAAGCGTCATCTTAGAGACTATATCGTTACGAACTAAACAATAGCCTGCAATGGGTACCCTAGTATTTTTATGGAAATGATTCCATCACCCATGCAATCGCTTCTCCAAAGACGGACGCAATTGATGCTGGAGTTATTCAGAAGGACGCTACTTCGATCTATTACAGTCACAGTGGCTTCGGGTTAGATACCATTAAACAAAATTCGGTCCCCATATTTAGCCGTGCTTTCTGCAAGCGATTATCGTTAACTCGACTTGAGTTACTTGGCTGGCCTTTTGGGAATGCCACGCTTACATAGAGACACTTTTAAAAGCTAAACATATTTACGATGCTTTCCAGGTCTATTTCCAAGTGTGTATAGTAAAAAAACAATAGAATTAAAAAGCAACGACTGGCGTCGATTTTACAACTCAAGAGTACAAGAGATTGGGGCCGAAAAGTTTTTTTACTTCAATTGCACGGAAAGTACCCCGGCATCAGCTCGTCACAGCAGCATGTACAGCTGTCAGTTAAATTTGTGTTTTTTTTGCGTATTGCGAAAAAAGCTATGCCATTTGTCACCAGTATGTTGTTACTATTCTAACAAGCTTTACTATAAACTAAGGGTAATCAATAATAATTTTGTTCATCGTAACCTGCTCGCGTGCGCAACTGTTGTACAATTCGGTCCGAGTTTCATCTTTGCAGGATAGATAGATAGATAGATATACATTATAGAACGTATATGTGTTATGAAGCAACTGTTATCGCCGAGCGACGCTGTCATTATCGGGCCAGAGTTGTAAGATGTTTCCTTGATTATTTCTGTTATTCTTCTCATCCAGCCTCTCTGCGTCCGATTGCCACCACGATACTGTGACAGCACTTTTTCCTATTCACACTTTTCAGTTGTCCTATTCCGTTGACATGTTACCCGAGAAAAAGGAACGCTGTCGGATATATGTTGAAAGTGACCCCATGCAGGCAATGGCGCGCTGTTTTTGCTTTAACGTAAACAACTATATAGATCTAGTAAAGTTTCGATTGAATGAAATCTTTTTTGGCGGTTAGTTTTGCGGCGATTCCCAAAGATTGCTTCGGCGCTGCGTTGCGGTCTCGGTTATCTCATATATTATCCGGGTCCTCTTCACCGATTATTTATGCTTGTCATAGTCAAAAATCAAATCCAAAGCTTGCCTCACCAACGACGCGCATGTCGCAGACAGTAGTTTGTTAATAAACTCGTCCATATGTTTATTTGGTCACTTTTTTTTTACCCTTGGGTCCATGATCGGTCATTGCTCGATGTCGCCATCCCTTCGAGGCATCGACTGCCGGCGACACTCATTACATCGAATCTCTAAGAGACCATGACTCCGTAGTGTATAAAATGAATGAACAAATCCGTACCAGGGAGTTTTTTCATGCCCCTGAGAAGTCGACTTCCCTTAGCCCGACCAAGATCTTATTCACACACATAAACAGTGCTAGCGTGGGAACTTTCTTTCGTCTCTATTATTCTTATTGTTATTGAAATAGATGGAAACAAACAGGGAGAATGAACATTTTGGATATACGCTCGCGGACGAATCTTCTGTAATTCATCATGATAGACTGAATCGGGTCATCGGATCTATACTGACCTAATCGTTTCCATCTCAATAATTGTTTGGTCTTTCAAATTGATTTATCTTTTCCTCTATTTATATCGATGCCAATCTCTGTAGGTTGAATCAGCAGAAATACCGAACAACGCCCGTGACCAGATGGCGATTCATTGAATAATTAAATAACGATATCTGGAATCTTCCTTTCCCTTTAGTAAATGTCCATCGCAAACGTACAGCGCAGATATATTATTGTACAGACGGTACCAAACACCGTTCGATTGCCATTGCATAGTTGTTGATGGTACGATGCCACGTTGACCGTTTCAGTGGCGTCAACAAAACGGGCGGGCCGGCCGGCCGGCCGGCCGTCCGTCCGTCCGTCCGTCCGTCCGTCGCTCTTCGAACTCGACATGGTGGTAAGTCCAGAACGAAAAAGCAAGAAGAAGGACTTAGGGATAAGACCGGTAGCATGTCTTGCAAGCCGTCAGCAGTTTCAATGGTCTATGAAATGCGATGGTAAACGAGCGACACAGTGACCGAATGAATAGGCGAACGTCGTCACCTGTAGGACAAATAGTTTATTGAACTAATAACCTTGAAACTAGGCCAAGAGACGCTGAGAGGAACACAATGACCATTTCAGTTGGAACAGAAGCCACAAGGAAAATATACGATCCACCTAGGTAAGAAGGAAGGAGGATTTGTTTTTCTGTGTCTGACGAAAGCGGGACATTTAGATGGTGGCTTGTAAGGCCGAGAGGATAAGTGGAGACGGCCAACAAAAAGCAGAAAATTAGCAGCTTCCTGAAAAGATCGAATCATTGCAGCAATTAATACAGAAAGACTAGGGTCGCAATTACTAAGACGTTCCATTCAAACGTTCAGAATGAACGTTTCAGGGAATGAACTGGGCATAGTAACTTTGCATACGGCTGCTTTCCTTTAAGTTCAACGATAATTATCGATTAGTGCGTGAGGTAAACGTGATTGATGCCGGTAGCTCAGCAATTGCGATCACTATTCAAAGATATATTATTCGTTATAAGTGATAAATAATTGCAGCGGTATCGAGACAGCAGGGTTAGCACTGATTGACGTGTATGATACTATGAGGTCCGAGTAAAGATAATATTTGAAATCACTTTTTTCAACGAATTTAATAAACAATAGTCCGAAAATGCCATATTTGTTAACCTGGAAAAGCTTTTACACTTGATTACTTGTTTCATTTTGCTAGAATATGAAAATATCGACCTTGTCACGCACAACCTTCTATTTCTCCTCACTGGTCGGCCATGCGTTCCCGCACACGCGGCCGCTGCTGTGAATGGTAGTTAAGCAAATATGACATCAACATACACCGGACCGAGAGGGGACTAGTCCAGCGGGTAGGACGGTCCTGCATAGTAGAAAACTGGCAATGAAATAATTTTAACCATTTTTCGTGTGTCGGTTTAAACAACTAACATGCAAATACAGAAGGCATTGAACGATACTGATATCAAAACGATTTACTCTTCGTGCGAGATGCCTGCAAAAGCGATGCTTCGAAGCGTGCTCGCTATGGCAATTTATAAGAACAAGTAAATGATACATAGGTGAATTTATTATCTACTGTATTGCAGACTACTTTCTGTCAGCCAGCTTCTGCTTAAACTGTCGCCTCGAGAAAGATACGTTTTTTAGCAGTAAAACCTCTTGCGTAAATATGTAGACAGCATCCGTCTGTCGCAGTGATAATCATTGCCTTCATCGTTATTGGTGTCGTATGGCAGACAACCTTCTGCTAAGCAGAATGCACGAGACAATGGCGAAAGCATGCTAACCGGCCTTTCTGGGTCGATATGCTTGCCTGAAAAGCAATTTTCTGTATCATACTGGTGAGCCAACACTTTCTCTTCAGTACCCATTACGACACACGCACACACGTGCCGATACAATAGCTGCTCGTATGAGAAACTCAAACGTGCTGATCCCCGACTATTGGCTCTATGGCAATCGCTGTCGTCTGAGACTATTCCGCCTGTCGTCAGCAGTTGGTTCGTCCAGCGCAGCAGACCTAACAGAAACATCACTTGTTGGCGACGTGAGCCCATTTACTCTGTCTGCGGCCCACAGTGACGTCAGGTTCCGATAAGAGAGGGTTCTCGCTTCAGCCGAAGCAACAGCAGCAGTAGTCGCGGCAGCCAGCCACAGCATGTAGCTTGTTCCCGCAAAAACGACATTACCCACCGGCGTTGTGTCTAGGCTGGCTTACTGTTTCGCTCGATCCAACTAGAGAGAGCGAGCGAGCCAGCCAGCCAGCCAGCCAGCCAGCGAGGGACCGGCCGACCAACGATCGATCGATCGATCGATCGACCGACCAACCAACCAACCGACAGACTGGCATCCATAACCAAGATCGGACAGAGCAATCCAACAGCCGACCGAAATATTGAAACGAACTTACCCGATCAAATGCGTTGCTTTTGGTCATTCTAGCCGCCCTTTTGCTTGCTGTTCGCCCGTCGACGGCGCCGTCGCCGTCGCCGTCGCCGCCTTGTCAAGCCATTGTTAGTGAGACGCGCGCATTGTCAGTTCGAAACTTTAGATACAGTTTGGGTGCTAACGGAGCGGCGAAAACAGTGAAATCTGCTCCATCTCGCTGGAAAGCTGCGAGAAGCCTTCTGTTCCCCATCTTTCAGCTGCTGTGTAAACGCGCTTCTGTATACTATCGGCGTTTAACACGGCCTTAAGCGTTTGCGGTCGCTACGCAAGACTGATACAACAAGATCAGCGCTACCTGTAGGACCTTGCCGCTCCGCTTCAGATGCGATAATATCTAAGCAATTGCTTGCTCAGTGAGATCAAATCAGACAACAAAGAAGTCGTGGCAGGTTCCCACAAGCTGGAACCTGTCAAAGAAGAACTTAAGTTAGCTCACATATCAAGTGGAACCACGTTCTATTTCTTACTGTTTTCAGTCGACGTCCGATTTGTTTTGAATGAATGTGAACGTTTGCTGTCGGCGCAGAGAATAGACAACAAATCGCTAATACCTAAAATCAGCTGCGTAGGTTTGTACGAACGTAGGCGAAATTACGAGTAAAATCGGATATTGCGTCAGATCGAAAAATAGTAGCGTTCGATCATAGATGTCAAAGCTGGCCTGTTGTGCCGGTTGTTCCCAATGAGTTCTTCGTTTTGGTTGTTACTGTCGGACGCCTCGAGTGTACGTTACTAGTGCGATTCAAACTGTCCATTGCTGCCATTTGTGAGAAGTGATAAGAAAGAAAGAAAGAAAAAAAAAAAAAAAGCGGAACGAATACGACCAAAATAAGCATCTATTCCTATACGTGTCCAGTAAAATATTCCGTGCATCATCAGTGTCATCAAAATAGCTCGTGCTGTACGAAAGTGATCGTGGTAGCGGTAGCTCGAACTATGCCTTCACGTATTCCGCAGGTGTGTAAATGCATGTTTGCCTGTTGTAGACTTGTTCTGTTAACAAATATGGCGAACGCTTTTGTTTCAGCTTGAGTGTGGCCTCGACTGGGCTGAGAATAAGGCAGGAGATGTTCATCACCAGATTCAACAACGTTTGCTACGAAGACAGTCCACCATGTCCACGGTTGGTAGAGTGCTTACATAGTTTGTATATAATAAATGCCGTAAACAGTAACAGCAGTGGCAGCAAAAGTTAACCAAGAACGCTGAACGATCCTACCGCCTCTAAGAACAAGGCCATTTTGGCCGTCAGTAGCATAGTAATAGAGTACATCAGTTTTGCCATACAAGCGAACGACATGTTTCGAATAAACTTCATAGATGAATTGCATTCAATACTTGTAGCGTAGCAGTGTAAAAACAGGTCGCGGAAGTCAGCTCACGCACTATATTGTCGTTTACGTATCCTTTACGAACAGTCGTTGAGGGCCCTTGAAAAGCGGATATTTTAAATTTATTTTCGCTAGGGAGCGCTTCCTCGAGCTGGTTAAGGTTTATTGTTCGGATAGTGGACTCGGAGAAAAAAAAACTAGACTTTTAATAGGACATAACCAGTCGTATCGTTTACACGAAATAATTCGATCATTTGAAAAAACGTATTGTTAAAAACATGATTCACACTACTACTAGCGGTTCATATAAGACTAGATATAATCGTTTATGGAAGATCCTCAATCTGATCGTTAGAGTCATTCTCATCCGGACAACATCAGGGCGACAATTATCCGATATCGTGAATGAGAGAAAAGACTGTTGACGACAGGTGCGGCGTGCAGGTTCCATTAAACTATGCAGCCATACCATATTCAGCGCTAGTCTGATCAAAGGCAATAGAGCTCTATTAGCAGATAGACAAATTTATACCAAACGCTACGATCTGTTACCGAAGCCTTGAGATAGATCCATGTCTTTAATGCACCTGAAAATTATATTCTATGGTCTAAGAAAGGATCGGATCTGCCCACTCAATGGAATCGAAGTGCCCCCTACGACGAAATAGAATTGCTTACAAATCGAAGCATTGCTGTTAGTCAACTATATAAGAGATTGTTTCAAAATTTATATTACTGCCATTCGCTATATAAGGCTAGCCTAGAAAAGTATAACTCTACAGATAATTAGCGTTTCTCAGCATTTTAACGAAAATATGTACTATTTAATAACGAATTACAGGCTTTGGCAATTTGTCACTGCGGCAGAGGCTTCTGAGTAGAACTCTGAATCATACTGACCGTATCAATTATCTCAAGGTTAGCGGATTGACGTTAAACATTACTGTCGTATTATATTATACTAGCTTAGACTGGCAAGTGAGCTTCTATCGGATGAGTTCTATTACATCGTAACGAACTTTTGCTCAATAAAACTCCCGAGTTTGGGCCATTTCCTCTTGATTTTTTTAACAATGAACATTTGCCCATCGAGGTTCCCGTGTAAACGTATAATGTACGTATCCTTATTCATTATTGAGCGTCGAACCAAAGTGGAAGGCTGGCCACGTTGGCCCTTGTTAACAAAAAGGCAAAAAAATTGCAACTAACTTTACCGGCCCGTGACTCGCAGCCCCCCGTAACAATTATCACATTAGATAAATTTTATGAAATTAATTTTTTGAATTATTAAATTTAACAACCAAACAAAGTTACCCTTGTTTTTCAAGCTTTCAAATAACTAGTTCGTGTTTTTAGAAGACCTTTTTTTTAGTCAACCGCAAATATTTGCTCATGGCCAATGTGTTTGTTTAACACTATAAGCGTAAATACTCATTTATTCTATGGTAGAGATTTATTACAAGTAACAATCCCAAAGGCAAAGAAAAGGACCTTATGCAGCTTTACTACAACGGCACTGTTCACGAAAAGTAGGCGAATGAGCCTTGCTGTTGTCATCAACGTAACAAGTTCTTGTGATCGCTTCGATCATGAACATTAGTTTCGCTAAAGCTCCATGGGGTAGCTGGAATAAATGAAATCTATATTAGAACATTCTGGGGGGTTTGATAATAGTGACAATAGCACTTGGAGGCTTAACAACGACGTTGTTCATAATGAGTGGCGCTGTTTTTAATAGGAACCCGTATCGCTCATCGTGATTAGGCCAAAATAGGAAGTCTAGAAAAATAGAAAATATAATTGCTATGTCCCTGGGTACACTTACTGCATGCTGTAGTGCTTGAAGTTAATGGTGTGTGGTTACGTCCTCGTTTACACTTTCGAAGGCATCGGTTGGTATACATCAAGATGTACTTGTTTCCATTGGTTGCACTTGTCTTCGCTACCTCTTCGTCATGATAAAGAACATTACAAGAGCGGGCGGTGTTTCTGCTGAAAAAAAAAACAGTTTTTGTACAGTTCATAGTTATTCTTTGGTATTAATAGGTATTGATTGGTTCAACAGTTCCATTGGCATCGTAAACGAGGATTGATTCTGGTTCGGGCTACCGTAACGCCTGACGTACGTTTTCACACGTTGTCACCAACTATTCAAGACAAAAATACAACGGCCAAATTGGAGTTTTTAACTCATTTTTTTTTTACTGCAAAATAAATACTAAAAAAAGCGCGTATTCGTTTTTTGGGCATTTGTTAAATCGGTGTATCTCGTCATTTGTTGGACGTATTAATAATAGAGTAGCCCGTATCTTTTCTATATGAGAAATCGCTCAATTGTGACTCTTAAATGTTTACGAAACGAACTCGCCAAGTAATACCGTAACGTTATACAGTCCCTATAGTGAGCCTCTGAAGCATTTCATTGCCACAGCAAATTAACGCAGTCGATAGGCCTGCCAGACGCAAAGCGGGCTGCTATAACTTCCGTAGCGGCGACGGAAACTGCTGCTAGACAATTGCAAAGTTTAATAAAAATAATAGTATTTTTTTGGAAGCTTTCTAACAAGAAGAGATAGAAATTGTCTTCTTGGTAACAAGAAGACAATTACTATCTCGACGCCAGGGACTTCTGTGAACTGGCACCGTGCCTCGTGTGTGAATCAGAACCCTATGATATCGGAAGCTAATGCGACATCAGGCCCTGTTATGAAGGCCACATTGGCTAAACATACTTAGTTTGTCTTTAAAAATGTAACTACCGGGACATGCCCGTTGTCGTTACATAGGAGTGTCGCATACGATACGAAACCAAGAGCTGTTCTTGCAACACTCGTTCTAATCAGAAAATTCGAATAAGTTAATTGTTTCGTAAACTGATAGATCAACAGACATATTGAAAATATAGTTCGCGGGTAAGGAGCAGTGAGTAATTAAACACTACTTAAAGGCCTGCGTTTCGCATCAGTCTTAACTTCAGAGACATTTCGTATCGAAGCGTGCATACTGCCATTACCTATCTACCTATCCATTTAATCAAGCGTACTCTCATATTTTCAGGTTGGTTAGGAATCGTTTTGCATACAATAGAAAATCGTCGTGCAACGAAGCATCTGGGTTCCTATGTATAGGCATATTTGTAACGTCGAACGAACAAAACAAAGAATCACCAGTGTGTTATGTGTCGGCTTGAGATGAAATCGTGAAACTGAACATAGGCCAACTTTAGTCTGGCGATTTTACCTCGAATTCTACTAAATATAGACAAAAAAGCAGGCACCTCTGAAAGGCCGGACTACCTATGGGGATAGTAACTGTTTAGAGTTGTAGAACCTGAAAATGATTCTATAGACCTTGGCCGGAGAAGGCGTAATCAGTTGTTTGTATATAACCAACGTAATTTGTACCTGAGTTTTTTTAAACGGATTGTCTTTAATAACGACCAGTAAGACGTAACGCTTGCTTACTCATGATCCTATCGAACATATGACATATCTACAGATAAATACTTAAGGTGACTCAGTTGGCGAAATGCAATATACGCCATACACTGAATAGGACGTTCACCTCGGCACGGCGTAATTGAGAGATAATCAAATAGGTACACTTTTTCAGCATTTGCTCGTGCGCTGCCCGCGGGTCGTGGGCACTCCACGTCGCCCATTATTAGTACGATCGTAAAAAAACAGTGGTACATCACTGAAGAAGATGCGTAATCAGTACACAGGTTCTTATCGCTTGACGGCAGCGCACCAAGATGCTGGTCGTCAGGTATTACCAGCCAATAATGCTTCTCATGAACGTAGCCCACGGTGATCAGGATACTAAATTGACGGTCGAGCGAATCGGGTCTTTAAATATAGAATACACCTAACAGAGCACAGAAACGCAAACGAGAAAAACAGTACTATCGCATTATTTCGAACATAACAAATGACCATCTAATAGAAATGGTTCAAGCCATACCACCGATTCACTATGGAAGACAAAAAGGATTCATCGCCGTTCATATCCCTTATATAGCGTGCGATCTTATCGCTTGAATTAATTCAATCGTATATTGAATTCACCTGAGTAGAAATGTCCTGTAAGTCCTGTAAGATGCAACTGGGTGGAAGATGAAAACGAATATATTCAATTACAGAATCTTTATCGAGACAGAACTGATAAGCTGGACCCCGACGTTATTCTGATCATATTTTCAAAACGCGTCCGTCATTACCACGCCGACACAGAGATCAGTAACTTTGCATTCTAATATAAACGAAAAGTAACGGTATGCCCGCAAATATGTAGGTGTACCTATATTATAAGTAATGCTACAAATGTGGATGCCTTTATTTAACAACAAAATGTCTTTGCTCCGTCCAAAAGCGGAGTTCACGCCTTTCATTTTCTCGCTCGACACCGCTTTATCTCACTTTTTTTTTTGCCGAAGGAAGCGACGGCATCTTCTTAAAAGGACGCAACAACGTCGCCCGTTGGCCGTTCGTCTTACGTCGGCTATTCACTTGCGTTCGTTATTATGGTGGTCAATAAATGGCATCGTAATATTTACTCCAGTAGATTGGTGGGCCGCCAACAATACATGTTAGACGTTAGGCGCAGATCTGCTCCTCTCGCGCGCGCGCGCGCCCGCCCGCCCGCCTGTCAGCAACAATGTCACCCTCTCCACGTTTCTCTTGCAGCCGTTGATTTTTTCGGGACTAACTACGACCACCACCATCCGTCGAAGGAGGAAGAAAGACGTCACCTACGTGTTCAAAAGTTCAGGTTGCGGACACGTAAAGCGATA